TCATTGAAGTGTTTGCATCATGAGTTGGTTTTGATCATCTGCAATCTTGTCTGTTTGTGAACCCCAGGAATATTCATTAGCTACCATCACACTCGCGCTCAGTGCCTCTGATGGCATGCTCCTTCTCACCTCCTATTCATTGTGCTCTCTGCGTACTGTTTTTGCAGGTACAGGAAAGTTGTTTCTAATGTGTGTGAAGGTGGTGTAGACCTGCAGCAGAACTTAGCACAGCATATGTGTCCCTTGATTGCTCCCAAGGGACTTCAGATCAGCATCAGAGAAGAAAGCCTGGCTGTTAAGCCTGGGGAAGACATCACCTTCATCGTCAGACAAGAGCAGGTAGTAACAAATATTGGCTTTATGAAAGTTTCCTCACTATGTTTGTGGTTCCCTTCTCTTCTACCTGCTTTGCTGCTGAATGAGATTAAGTTGTGCTTGAGATAAAGATGAATGACTCCCTAAATATTGAAACTTCTGTTTTCAAGTGAACCAGACAATCCAGTAAGCTCAGTGAACAATCGCGTTCTGTCCACGGAACGGGATTTTTCCTCTCAGCGGCATAGTCAGTCCTGATTCCTTAAAGTCATCAGCAGCTTGGAAAATCAAAGGAACTAAATTACCAAAGTCTTCTTGGACTGAAAATATCAACTGCTGTATCAGAGAAGAAAAAAAACGCAGAGAACATTTAGTATTCTGGTTTAAGTTTTTTTGAGAATCTGCTTTCAGAAAGGAATCAGAAAAGCTTTACAGAAATCAGCAAATAGCATAGCATAAGAACATTTATTATATATTAGCTGTGTTGCCAAAGATACATTTTTTAATGTTTATTGAGAGACACAATGCCTTAAGGCCCTGATCAAAGGCAGCAAGTAACTTTTGGATGAGTTGTTTGCCGTGGGTATGTTTCCTAATGCTTTCTTTTGAGTATTAGGCTCTAAGTGTTGTGCTCAGGTTACCAGAGTATTGTACTTCCTGGCTAACCCCACTGATTTGCAAGAAATTGCAGAAAGTTCACACATTTTGGCAAACCTGTGTAATATAAATAGGGCCCTTGGGATTTATTTCTGTAATGGAATCAAGAACGTTACATGTAGAACACTGGGCTGCTTAACACTTTGTAGGCTCTCGTCCCAGTGCTTGCTGTGCTCCAACACTTGTGTGGTAAGTTATACTGCCCTCTCTTTTAATAATTTGTTTGGAAATGTTTATTGTAAGAATGGAGCATTTGGTTGCAATTTGAACTCTACTGATTTTGACTGGCAGTTTGACTTTCTTCCTACTATATAGATTCTGAAGCTTTCGTGAATCTCTGTTGCAATATGTAAAACATTTTAAACTCTTCAAAAATCTTCAGAAGCCAGGGATCTTGAAGGGAATCCTGTGCTGTGTTTTCTGATGAAGTCTTTGCTGGGTACATGAACTGGATGGCAGATTTAGAAGAAAATGTAACAGTTTGCTGCCCCCTACGGCTAAGAATGATATCTATACTCAAACGTCCTGAGTGTTGCTTAGAATTTAATCTATACAACAAAGTCTAATAAGATTTCATAAGAATTACCAAGTTTAAGAAATAGCTCTACTAGGATAAACAGAAACATACTGCTTTCTCTGCTGAACAAAATTAATTTATTGATTTGTCTAGATGCAGGATTGCCAGACATCAGGGAGTGAAGACAGCAGGCTTTGGGTATTTTTGGACAGTTTGCAAGTGAACTTAGATATAACAATAATTTATAATTATAGTTTATTTCCCCCTCAGATTCTGTTGGCTGATTCCTTTTAAATTTATCTGCCTTTTCTGTATATGACTCTCTTGTTATCTGTCCACCACTCTCTCTCTCCTGGCCTGGGAAACAGAAGTAAGTACCTTGGTGTTTTGAAGACAGAACTCTCGTCTTTACACTAGGGAAGCTATTAGAATAAAACATTAGGAGAAGCTTGCATCTACTGGCTTTCAACACTGGTTTCTGTCTCACCTGAAAAAAAATATGCATGTATACTTGTTAGCATCAGAAAGAGCAAACAAGAACTGTTTGCAGGCTAACGTCATCTAAAGAGATTCCACTTACTGGCACATTGCTGGCAAGAAGACATCTCTTTTGCTTTAAACTTTAATAACATACTATCTCCTGCTAAATTCTACCCATCTGTTGTCAAAAGAAAGATGTTATTTGGAAAAAAATATTCACAGTAAAGAAGCTTTCAAGGTCCTTTATGTGGGTTGAAATATGGTGGTTAGGTGTTTGATAACCCTACAGGTTCCTTCTTATACGTATTATTTACATAATAAGCAATGCTCTTTCATCTGATAAAACATGGAACAAAATCAACAAAACTACAAAATAATAAAAGGAGGAAAAACAAATATATTTTCCTTCCCTTTGTAATGAAAGGGAACAAAAGTTCTAGGCTTTGTTGCCTCTTAGATTTTACATTAATGCTGCCTTTTGGAATTAGATTTCGATGCAAACCTGCGTCAGAGAGTGTCTCATGGGGAAGTGAAGTGATTTTTGAATACTTCGATGAGCGTCAATCCTTCTCTTCTCTGATGGCCATTCAGGTCACCTGAGGAGCATATGGATCTATACGTTCCTTTCCCAGAGACAATGAAGATTTTTAAACCAACACTGTGTTTTCACAGTTCAGAAGATTTTTTACCAAGACTGTCCCCACCATATGTTTTGACTGCCTGACTGTGATGGCTGTGTACTGTGGCAAGCAGGCAGGAACACATTGCTGAAGACTGAGGAAGAACTGCAGCTGGCTAAGGCAGTGCTGCCAGTAGTATTCAGAAAGTGTTGCTGCTCACAGCTAAAATGGATTTTCCTTTGACTCCATCCACATGGCCAGTCCACGTAGCACAGGCCTGACTTCTCTCCTGAGCAGCCACGACGGTACAACATGAGAGATGGGCGTATATTTGTCCTCTGACAATAGTATCAGTCTTACAGTGGTTTAGGTCTGAATTTAGGATGATGTCATTTAAAGGGGCACTTAGCAGAAGTGCAGTGAGTTATAACTTACATGAGGTGCTTGATGTGACAGAATTGTTTGGCTGGACTTTTAAATCCTTTCCCAAACTCAGCTCAATACTCTGCTTCATTAACCATGCATCTAATTTTACAATAAAGCATGTTAGTTTTAGACATGCTGGTAACTCTGTATAATGCAGTACAACTCTGTGTGAAGATCCTGGCTTGGATCTTCAAGGCCATGTAGTTGACACTCAGAGGGTATGGTTAGAAGGTGCTGTGAAGATGTTCTAAAACAATTAATTTTACTTTGTAATTGCATAGTCTAGAAGTTCACTGGATGAGCAGTGATTTCTTGAAATAATAATATTCAGTTGTTTGCAATCACACAAGCATCAATCCAAAACCAGGGGCTGCCCTGCACCATTATATTAGTTAATGTCCAGCTGCATTAAAACAAGGGTGATGGTTTCCATGGCATATGACTTGGTTAGTGGTCTGAGGTGTTTGATTTCAAGGTAGCACCTTACTGTGGAAAGTTAGTATTATCCCTGTTAATGCACACAGCATCTGTTGTACTAAAATCTTTGCCGTGAGCGTAGTGGTTTTACTGCAGCTATTGCAATTGAGTTAAAATATCTGGCTGGGGCTGGAAACACTGTTGTGATTCAGGAAATGGTTATAGTCGTGTGACCTATCTATTTCAGTTCTGGCCATTTTAAATATTTTTTATATATTTTCCTTTTAGGGTGATGTATTGAATACCAAATACCAGGTAGATCTTGGAGATGGCTTTAAAGCGATATATGTGAACCTTACGATGACTGGAGAACCCATCCGTCACCGCTATGAGAATCCTGGGATTTACCGTGTCTCGGTGAAGGCTGAGAATGTGGCTGGGCATGATGAGGCTGTGGTGTTCGTCCAAGTCAACTGTAAATCAGCTCTCTGGTTTTCTTACTGCTGCATAAAAACCTTGTGACAACTGTGAAGTAGTAAAGAAAATTACTAGTTGCAATTAGGAAAAATGCGTATTTTTTCGCTAACCTCATGCAATCTTGCAGTGCTGTATGTTGTTAATGCAGAGGCTTGTAAACCTAATGTATTAGGAGGTCAGAGTTAGCTTTGTTTGGATTTTGGAGAGGGTCAGTGTATTAATCTTTTAAATAGCAAGCATGTCTCAGTTCAAATTTCAGGTTTGATCCATCTTCCTGAGTCTAGACCCCACTGACACTCTCAGCAGCTAAAATTTCACACTTCAAGCTATATCTTTTTAGGAGCTTCTAGGTCCTTTGTGAAGCAAGTGAATAGACATGTTGAGAAACGTATGAGCACTTATATGATTTTAAAAGAGAATCGAAATTTCTATGTTTCTAAAAGTCAGGTAACTTATTCAAGAGCCAGAATCTAGGTTTAGGTAGTTAATTCTCACAAAGTTTTAAAGTGATATTTGGATATAACTTCATGTTGACAAGCAGTATTACTTGACTTAGACTTCCCTCCCTCTCTTCTAAATTAAGACCTGAAAACCCCCATCAAATAGATCTAAGAGAAAAGAATAGCACGGCACAGGGAATATCATGCACCATCGCAAGCTTAATGTACCTCAGTCATCTCATAATTGAAATGAAGAAAGAAACTCATAACTGGAAGTGAATTTTCCTCTTCCTTTAAGATTCAAGACAGCTATTGCTTTGCCTGTGTTCAAGTTTGTCAAACTTCAGAAAAAAGCAACATCAAAAGAAAAAGATACTCATCTCTCATTCTCCAGGTGTCTGTTTCCCTCTGTTGAGAGTGGTGTGTCTTCCATCCTAATCCCAAAGCAATGGAAATCGCTGGAGCCACATGCAAGGCCGTGCACAGATCCATGTGCTCTATGTCAGCCTGCCTGCTGACTGCTTATGTTTCTATATTTTGCTAGTCAAAATCCTTGAATCCGCAGTTTCCAGTTCTACTTTGATTAGCAGATGGAGCTCAATCCGTTAATGCTAATGGACATTCTCCTATTAAAATCAAATGGAAAGGATCAGGATCAAATTCTCCACCTCAGTTTCGCTAGCTGTTTCTTTGTTTTTTAAATCATTTGACAACTCCAGAGAGCTCAAATAAATTCCTTAGGGCTTCACTGTTACTTTTTAGGAGCTTCTAGGTGCTGAGAAGTAGATTAAGCACAGGAACAATAGATCTGTACAAGCAATGAACAGCAAAAACTCTGTTTAACATCCTTCTCTCGAGGCAGAGCAACTTCTTACCATTCAGAGAACGATAAGCAGTAGCAAGCCCTGATGGAAAGTGGAACAACCACTTCCTCAAAATGTGCTTCAGGTGTGGCCTGCATCAGGATAAACAGTAAAAATAAAGATGTTGATTGTGTTTTATGCAGTGGATTTATACATAGTAGAAGCCGGAGGTATTTTCACAAGTAAAATGGCTGGTGCATTAAAAGGACTTTGGTGCCAAAGTGCAGGGGTAGCAGAGGACTGAAAGCAGACGTGGTTCAGTCCTGAGCTTGTCCATGGATGCTGCACATGGTCTAGAAGACTCACGGAAGCATGTTACCCAGCCTGCTTGAATAAATATTTTCTATGTGACTTACTTTGTTTAATTTTTTAAGTAAATTACAAGATTCGAGGAAATTAGCTGACACTAATTAAACTGCTATTTCTGCACTCTAGAGAAGCACTAATAGCTGTTCAGGGACAATTTTCACTGTGGAATACCATGAAAGCAGAAATGTCCATAGAGTCCTGCTTTTGCTCTATCTCCAGCTGATGTATTCCCAGGGAATTTTTTCAGGAACAAATGGTAAAGGGAATAATTTTTACTCCTGCCAAGTTCTGTTGCTCTAGGATGCCCTGTAATACAGGAGAATTATATGAACTTTGATCTGTCATCCATATTATGCTTTCTGATCCAGATCACACAATCTACAACTTCTTAATAAACTGTAACAGAAATTTGAGCAATTCTGATAGTATACGTGTGAGTAGGTAACCTAGAATAAAAAGAACTGAAGAAGAACTAGGTATACATTTTCTTTTTCAGGAAACCATCATCTCTACAGTGTGTGAATAATCAGGGAGCTTTGAAAACTACTGAAATTGTTGCTTCATTAAACAGAAATCATATAAGTCGACTTCATTCCTAATTGTATACACTTAGTGGTGCTATGAAGCTTGTTCAAATGCATTATGGAATTGTGTGACTGAGACAAGCAAAAGGACTCGCAGTAATTATTTTTAGCTCTTTACTGTATAGGAATTGCTAAATTGAAATAGCAGTCATCATTCAAATACCAAACAACTTTCCCTCTAAAAATTGTGGAAAAGAAAGTAACCTTCTTCAGGAGCAAAACCATATCTCAGAATGATCAGTTTCCTCTGAGAAATTTACGACAAGTCAAAACAGTGGCACAGATCCCTCCAGAATTCTTTAGTTTGCCTCATCAGAAGGAAAATCTATTTCTAGGAGAAACAGATTTGATGGAAATTCTACATTTTCTTAATTTTCCTCAGACATCAGCAAGAGGAGGAGCATTGTAATTCCGTTTCAGTAAAGAAGCTATTGAAGAAATCATTTGTTTAAGCACTCAGCATGTCTTGAATTCATATAGGTGGTTAAAGAGTCATCAGAGAAAGTGCAGAATGAAAGTCGAGTCTGCTATTTGGATGAAGCAGCACACAGGCTGGTTGAAGTGAGGTGGAAGAAGAGGGTGTGCACAGCTTGCACGACTTGCTCTCAGAGAAGTTCCATCAGTTTAGTCAAAGAGAATTAGAAGTGAATGGGCAATGATTCAGCTCATGAAATAGAGTAAAAGAAAGGCTTCGGACCGGTGTTAATTACCTTTAAGTTTGCACTGAAATGGAAGACCTTTGAATTAAAAAATATGTAGAATAGAACAAAAATGGATGGGTTAGTATTCATTCTGTGTAATGAATGCATGTTAGACCAAACAGCGGTTTGGTATCCTGGATAGATGGTGCAGCTGAAATGAAGAAATTCTAGTGATTGCATTGCACTATTATAAGGCTTTTACCTTTCAGACATTCTGAAAAAGTTATACTCGGAAACCTCCAAGGGAAAGATTTTTTTTCAATAAAGTTGTACTATGAAGCAAAATACAACACTAAGAAGGAGATAAAATCACTGTAATGATGCATTTCTTTTATACAAACAATAATGCCCACAGCCTTCATAGGCAAAAGTTCAGAAAGGAACAAACTGAAGACATATTTTGGAGTACAGAGTTTATCTATTTTGAGTTGGAAATAAATGCTCCCCTGATATACGCATCTATTTTAAAGCATACATTAATCAGAGCTGATGTGTGATGTGAGCCTAACAGCTGATTTTTTGTAATGAAAATGAGTAGTCAGCAGCATTCTTTTTCAGTTTTCTACTTTTCCCTTACCAGTTTGATTTCTTAGATTTTTTTATTCAATTATTTTTAAAAAAAAAAAAAAAAGCTGATATTGCCTTTTTCACTTTTTAACTGGGAAATTTGCTTATGTTTTCTAGAATTGGACATACACACAAAAAAATGCATGAGAGAGATGTATTTTGGTGATCAATCTGTCACATTGCTCTAGGATTTTGCTTGTGGGATTTTGGGGTTAGGTATTTTTGGTTGAAATGAGGTCCTTGCTATTATGCCCACAGCTTTCAACATAGATGTAAAAGCAGGAGGGAGAAAAAATAAATTGAGCACCTTACGGTGTGCTGGTGAGAGACTTTAGGCAGAGAGGCATTAATAAGTTGATGGATTCTTTTTCAATTATATTTTGGGAACTCTGTTCAGCTCCACTGCAGGCTCTAAATTTAGAAGCGGTTCCAGTTGTTGGGAGAAACCAGGAGGTGAATCTGACAGCCATCATACTGCCCAAGAACCCTAATTTGACAGTCTTCTACTGGTGGATAGGAAACAATCTTCAGGTACATGAATGGTTTTGACCGAGGTTATTTTCAATCTCTTTCCAATAAAGGTTGAGTGACACCTTTTGCTTTAATAGAAATACTACTATGTTGCATGACTTCTTTTAGACCATCTTTCATTCCAAATAGCCATTCATATCCATCTGGTGGCAAGCAGTATCTAACTTGCCTTGTTTTATCATAAAAGCAAACTTGTGGAGGGGGATGCATTTGGGATCATAGCTTTGGCGAATGATGAAACTTGGATTTATGCACTTCCATGTTAATAATGTGAATACTGTGAATTTAAATTCTGTACAGAAATATGTATATATTCATTGTAAGGAAGAAAATTTTTACACTGGGGGTTGTGAGGCACTGGAACAGGTTGCCCAGAGAAGTTGTAGATGCCCCATCCCTGGAAGTGTTCAAGGCCAGGTTGGATGAGGCTTTGGGCAACCTGGAGTAGTGGAGGGTTTCCCTGCCCATGGCAGGGGGGTTGGAACTAGATGATCTTTGAGGTCCCTTCTAACCCAAACCATTCTATGATCCTATAATATTTTCTGGGAGTCTAAAATAAACTGGCATATCAAAAGTAACTGGGATACCTAAAAAGATGTCAAAATAATTAAAGTAAAAGATCTAGTGATATTCATTTGGGGACAGAAAGTATAGATGAACATATCCTACACCAATAAATATCCAAGTATTTCTCTTGGGAATATTTCTCATCTAGCTGGGTTAATTTCTTTTAAGGTAATTCTTTCGATAACAGATAAGTAAAATGTTTTTTTTATGAGAGAGACTAAGTATGACAGAGGAATGCTTTAGATGAGCACAATGAACTTTCTTCTTGTAAATGTGCTTAATCCCAGTCTGTATCTGTTCATTATTATTGACTTTGCCATTGCTAGAACAGGCACTGCAGATCGATGTAGTCTTAGGAAGAGTTTTGTAATTCAGACAGATGCGGTCACGGAACAGAGTATCTCAGTTCCGCTTTGGAGGTTACAGTGGGCTGATGCACGTCCATGGGTCATGCTCTAAGTTGACAGAATTAATCCTTTTGACCTTGACTATACCCCATGTTTTTTGAGGCAAACAGCTTATTCGGTATGATCTTGTAGAGATATGTGAGCCTGACTCAAAATCTGTTTATTTTAGTGGAATCTGAATGAAAAACTAATACTCTACCAATTATTCTAAAAGCAGTGTTTGCCCCATTTGGTGGCTGTTCTGTTTATAAATGTTCTATTTAGGGAAAGAATCCTGTCTTGAAAACTGTAATTGAACAATTTGATAAAATGTTGATTAATTGAATAATTGATGTGAAATCTTTTTTGCTAATATTTTTAGTGATGGTCTCTTCAGACACTGTTCTTGTTCTTGGTGAAATTCTGTTTTCAACTTTTTTTGTTGTTTTTTTAAAGCCACTCCTTACATTGGACAATTTTCTGGTGACAAAGTTTGCTGAGACAGGTGACGTCAGAGTTACAGTGCAGGCTTCCTGTGGGAGCTCCATGCTTCAGGACTCAAAAGTTGTCCACGTTTTCGGTGAGACATTACTCTTGTAAATTTTTGTGTGTTTGTTTCATGCGTACTTGTTTGTTACACCTCTTAAACCAGCCCTGACACAACTGAACCTGTTGTAAAATTCTGTCTAATGACTGATCTAGTTTTTAAAACTAGAGGGATGAGCTGTCACTAGATAAGTCCATGAAGTTGAACAGTGTGATTGTATGAAAGGGTTTAATCTGAAACTTTTTGTTTCCTTTGCTGATTTTAGATGTTACTGGGGTTCCCATTTTCTATATGTAGCAATAGTGTCTAAGTAGTATTTTGGCCTATGACTGGAGAGTTTCTTAGAATTTCTAAATAAAGTAGTTTCAATACCTCTGAAAAAAAGAAAATTTAGTTGTGTATGTGCTCTCAGCATTAAAAACAATGTGAAATAATTGCCTTTTATCACAGTATATCAGTGTTCCTTTGATGTTTATCTGAGAGTTTGGATAAGTATAACTCCACTGTAATTATTAAGTAAACCTTCAGCTCTTGTTTCACATTGTGCCCTGGTGTGTTTTGTTGTGTCTTATAATGTGATGACAAGGCATAGTATACTGTGAAAAATATAGTGCTGACAGATTATTTACATTTGCATTTGTGCTGTCACATGTGGGAATTGTGATAAGTGAAAAAGCTTCTTTTTAATGCAGAGCTAAAAGCCTTCAGATATCATGAAATACACAGCATGATACATCTCTATTGCCTGAAGAAAATACTGTTCTTGCTTTTAGTATACTTATTCATTTAAAATAATAGTTAAAACCACAGATTTTATGGACCTTCTCCTTTCCTAAGATAAACGGATTTAATATTTATCCTATCACTTACAAGTGCATCCACTTTTTTAGAAATCTTTAGAAGCATAACCCAACTTAGTGTGACTAGATCACTGACTTTGGCTTTCAAACGCTGCTTCTGGTCTGAGTGTTGGCCAATCCTGATACCAAGAGCAAGAAAGTACGGGTCCTAGGGGAAATAAAGAAACCTCTGGAAAAGAAAACCACATTGAAATACAATTCTGTCAGAAGCATTAGGGAGGCCGGGTTTGATTCATGCGTTCTAGAGGACCTCTTTCTCTGCTTTGCATTAAGTTCCCCAGGTGTTCGTCCAAGGAGCCTATGTGGAGAAAGAGAAGATTTTAGTGACTGTTTACTGAAGAATAGCCCATTTCTGGTATTTCAGATATTTTGGACAATATCCAGAGAAATGTTGTGGGTGTACCTTGTTTTTATTTTTTTGAAGAGGGCAGTAATTAGCCTTTGGTATACACTTTCTGTTCTTATTTTCATAGCTAGTTGATGGAATACATAAAGTATTCATTTTACATGAAAAACAGGAACATGTAATGGGCAAAAAACACATTTATGGTTCAGTGAGAATAAAATCCATTGGCGCTATTCCCTTTACAAGTAAAATAAACCAACCACATCTGTGTGTGTATTGTCCTAAGAAAAAATTATTGGGAAGGTTATGACCCCAGAGCATGTATGTAAATGTGCTTTGTTTATTTTTTTTCTTTCTGCTTTTTTATCTTTAGGCACAAATTTGATGATGTTGACAAAAATACAGAAAGAGATTGAGTGCCTGACAGGAGTGTACTCTTGCTCCGAGCAAGAGTACGCAACGCAGCGCAGTGGGGTTCCTAGATACTGCAGCGCTGCACAGCAAATACTGCCAAATATGTATTTTCAGCTTTTATTTCTGCTAAAATGTTTTTGCAGCCTGGTTTGTTACTTGTTCAAAAACGTTTGTTTTTGTTTTTCTAGATAATTTTCATGTTCTTCCTCTGAAGTTTACTAAACACCTGGACATGTACAACCCCGACATAGCGGAGTGGAGGGAAGACATAGGGCGAGTAGTAACACGACTTCTTGCAAAGGTGCTCTTTCAGATTGCTCATAAAATGTTCCCTCACCAGTCATAAAGCTTGAAGGTTAAGTTAATGCCTTCTCATTTAGAAAAAAAGAAGGCAGAGCAAAATAATAAAGTGAACCTCATGAGCCACATTTCAAACAAGTTTGAGCCTAGTGTCGCTTTTATGTGCAGGCTGTAGACGATGATGTTGTAACATAGAAAGTTTAGGCTTAACACAGCCTAATTGGCAATTAATGCTAAATATTGCTCACTGCGATTAGGAGTAGACATATTGGCAAATACTGCTGACTCCAAAGCAGGAAGAGTAGCTTAAATGTGATATATTTAGACAATAAGCAAAGGATGCTGTGTACTATAAAAGACATAGGCTTTGTGTAAAAACAACACAGAAAAATTTACAATGTCAATTGTGTAACTGAAAATTACATAGCATATATATAGGCTAAAGGTTCATACAGCTGGATTTTTAGATCATATTCGCAAAAGAAATGTGAATGGGGAGCAGTTGAATCCTGTAGGTTAAATAGAGTACAAATCCATGCAGCAGTTCTGTGAGGTAAGTAAAAGCACCCCGTAAAAACTGTGAGCTCTAGAGCTCTGCTCATCAGGTGGGCACCCTGCCAGCAACTGAGTGTGCACACACTGACTTTTTGTGGGGACAGTAACAGTGAGGCGCAGGTTGATGATGATGTTTTTTAAAATAATTGCATTTGAAATCACTTGATTCTTCCTTGATTTACAGTAGTGCAAATCAGGTTCTGGAATTTTGACTTTATACTTTCTCCTGCTTTTTTTTAACGTTCACATCAAATATCAAATAAAAGTAAATTCCCACTTTTCTCCACTTAACCCCATTCCATAACCAGTGTCAGTCAAACAAATGTTTTAATCTCTTATAAAATTGCCCTTGCATTTTAGTAATTACTAAATCATTTGCAAGAGAATATGAACAATTTAATAGAATTTCAAAACCTGTTAAAGGAAGGCCGTGGGAAGTGTCCAGGGTGTTGTCATTAGAATTTTGTTGGCTGTATTATACAACACATAAAGGAATTTGGAACTAAAAGCAAAATTTAGAAAAACTATTTTGGAAACGAATGCACTTGACTTTCAGTGGAGACTACAGATATTTATAACAGTTTCAGGAACTGAATCTAAGTGCTCTTAGTCTCACCCTGGAAGACTTCTATCCGTCCATTAAGCACAGATAGAAAAGTAGCCTCCCTAAGCTAAAGTTACCTGTAATGAACATGCCCTCCTAAGTCTACTAAGTGTCTGAGTGGCCCACAAAAGATCCTAAATCACTTAGAAATTTTATTTGTTACCCTAGAAATGCACAGCCTTTGCAGAGTTTTGCTAAAACTGCATACCACTTCGTTTTGCTTCTTTCCATGATGCCACTAAATCTCTTTAATGCAGTAACAATGCTTAGCTCTTCCAGTCTTCAAAGAGGAGCTCACATTTCAGTTAATTTATGTTTGGCTTTGTTCATGTTTTAGCTTATGGTGGAATCCCCTCTAAATATTAAGGATCCGAACACCAAAGACTAAAAGATGTGTGGAATTACTTATGTATTTTCTATAAAATATAAAACACTCTGTCCTATAATTTGCCATGTGCCTTTGTCTTCACAGGAAACGAATATACCTGAAGAAACGCTCATCACAGTCGTGAAACCTGGTCTGCCCACAACTGCTGACTTGCACGTGCTACTACCAGCTAACCAACCAAAAAGGAAGAGAAGTGTAACTAGTGATAAGGTAACCAGAGCAATGCATGTCTGGGTAGGACAGTCTTCATCCTGTTTTGCAATCAGTGGCTGTACTCTCGTTGTCTTTATGTGAAATTAAAAGGTACTCCCTAACTATGTAAAGATCTTCCCACCTGACAGGAGACATGTAAAAGCTAGAAGCAGCTGTGACTGCTGTGTTCGACAGTGTATAGACCAGCATAATCTAGTGCTCACTGGTATTAGTGTATTTCTCACAAATTATTAATAGTGATCTGTTTAAACAAAAACAACAGTGATGGCATGTCAGTCTGTGAAGATCTGGTAGACCAAAGAGTATATTTAGGACACTGATATTTCTAAAGAGAGACAAACCATGTCTGCACTGTCTTCAGAAGCAAATTAGATTTCAGGTCAAACAGAAACAGAACCTTAATAGTTGACCTATAATGTAAAGAGCATCAAGCAGGTAGTTTCTGCCTTTTGAGCAAATGTCCTTTTCAATTGGCAAGAACCAAATGTAGTGAACGCAGGAATGAAAATCAGACATTAATTAATTTCTCGCTACTTATTTATTTCCAAACCTTATCTCTTCCGTAATAATAGACCTTATGCCAGTTGAAAATCAGAAGACTGGCACTTATAGTTTATGATATTCGTCCTTTTGCTGTGGTAGAGAAGGAACAGATCCCAACTCTGTGCGTATATCTTGCAGTTCAAGTCCTGCCAGTTACAAAGAATCATAATGTAAGGTATTGTTGATTTTGAAGGGCATTTTACAGCTTTTTGAGACAAGGTCCACAGTATCCAGAGAGCTGTAGAAGTAGGTAAGACAAAGCTCTTCACATTAACACAAAACCAACAGATTGGTTTTGAAGTTGATGGGGTACAATTTGGAAGGTCCAAAGGATTATGTTGATGTTGTCGAAGTACCTGAACAGGTGTCTTCCTTTAAAATGCACAGAGTACAGTGTGAATGCACAAAATTTCCTGCTTTGTGGCAACCCCAAACTCTTACTGCTCTCCCTCTGTAATCACAGTGGGAATACCTGGTAGTCTGAAATCCTGATTATGTTGCAGGAAATGGTTAATTTTAATAGGTTGTTTCTTTAGTAGAGAGCCATTCATGAGCTATGGCTTTCAGCCAGGTGAGTATCACCAATTCAAAATTATTTGCATCTTTCCACTTCTTGAAGAAGTGAGATGCAGCTTCTAAAGGAAATTCTTTCTCTTTATACCAAGCATATATGGAATGGATGTCTTTTAATAATTTAAGGAGACTGATGGTGATAGATTCTTAGGGTGCGCAAACATTTTATTTCAGTGCAAAGTGTTATGCATAGTAGTTCTCTTTAAATCTCAAGTGTTGTATTTATTAGTGCTGTGCTTCAAGGCAGCTTAAAGAACATCATCAATTATAATCAATTCTATCTCAAGGGTTTTTTTTTCATGCATGTGTATGAAATAACCTGTGAGTTACTCCAAAGCACAAAGAAGAACAATCAACATGTTGCAAATGATTTGGGGAAAGTTCTGTTCAGTGGGGCTATTGGGAAATTACAGTAGTTTAGCAGGAGGCATTTTCTGTAATAAGTAGTCCTCCAGTAAGACATTGGAAAGGTTTTCTGAAACTAGAGGAGCATTGAGAGGTGAAAATAATTGTATAATCTGGAGAACAGATGTATATTGCTGACATTGTTAGGATGGACCAGGTCAGACCAGTGGTGGCTGGTGATTCCATGTATGGAAATACCAAATATGGTACAAATTACATTTGGTTGGAGCACGAATGAGGGAGAAAAAAAATAGCCAGCAATAACAAAGATCATAAGTAAGTTGGCAGTGTAGTCATAGGAGCCCTTTGAATAATTTTGAAATTTGGTTCTATTCTGACAACAGCCCTTTTTCTTTCAAATTTACGCATGTAGAAATAAAAACTGAGTGTGATTTACCTGGTTTTAAGAACACAGCAATTTCAAAAATATTTCATTTAATCATTGACAGTAGAGTAAGACTTGGTTGCTTAATTTATGTGCATCTGTTACATGTCTAATGTCAGGTGGGAAGAGTCCAGTTGAAAGAGTCAATTAAAATGCATTTAAACTATAACCTGGAAAGCAGGGGCTCTAAGGAAGATTTGGGGCTCTATCTACACAAACTAATACATGAAAATTCCCAGTGTGGCTTTGGCAAAAAGGGCAAGTCAGATCCCCAGATGTGCAAGTAAGTTAGTAAGAATCTGAATCGTTTTGTTATTTTTGCACTGTTTTACCACAATGTGGGAGCCATTGTGTTCACATGTTCAAATATTATCATTGTAAAGGATGTAGAAAAAGAAGATAGAAAATTCAAATGCTGGTATAAGAACCTTAAGTTAGAGAGTCTAGGGAGGAGCTCCAAACACTAGATTTGTTTTTTAAACAGTTAGAGAATTGACGGTACTGTGCTCAATAAATACCTCAAGGCAGGAAAAAAAAAAAAACAAAACCAACAAACCAAAATATGACTACTGAAACAGGCATCAATCTAACAGTGAAATAAATAAGCCAGAGCCTTTGGCTGGATTCACGATTCAAATTTTTGACCTGTGGAAGTGTAGTTCATATAGGCTTTGGTGGGAACTCAGGGATAGGGAGAGAAATAACGAACAAATGTTAGTCACTTAAGCAAAAACCAGAGCAAATGTTGGATTCCTCCAACACCTGCCAGGAAAATAGCTGTATCCAAAGTTATGGGGCTCAGTAATTTCATTTACTAGCTGAAAGTCAGATTAGCCTACAGTACTGGTCCCTCTTGCATTGTATACCATGAACATGTGAATGAACCTGGACTGAGACTAAGTAACTCTATTTCAGTGGTGCCAGCATCACTTTAAAGGCTGCTGCTAATCAGTATAGTTGTCATATCCATTCTGTTTTCAAATGGACAAAAAGATACTTAGGAGCTATCAGGAGTAATTGTCTTGTAAAAAAACTGAGACCATGCTCACAGCACCCTTATGTTGAGTCGTTTTACCCCCAAAATTTAGTAAAGTCAGTTAAATGGCTTCAGAAGTTGGGTATTCTTCAATATGAGTGCGGATATTTGAATGTGAGCTTTTGTGTAGTCTCTGTCCATAACATGAGAGAGACCACAGAGATTTCTATCTATTATACTGCAAAGTCTTGTCAAAGATGAGCACCATAATTGATAATATCATAAAAGGAGTTACTCCTGAAGGTTTCATGGATATAAAGCATATTTCTAATTTGGCATCCTGTGGGAAGTCATATTCTAAATTATAAGGCACAGAGTATAAAACTAGCTTTGATCTTTTAGAAAATTACCCACGTTGAAGACGCAAGCAAGTAGAAGGGAAAACTCAGACAATTTGTCATCTGGGGTTAGGATATGATGGTACATTTAATGGTTCTGCTCCATAAAAATGTGAAAGACCATATTTTACTGTGCTCTATCCACTGAAAAAAATAGGAATCCTGATTTTTTCCACATGGATGGATGTATATATTTCTACAGAGTATTGTTAAAAATTAGTTATAAATGGAACCCATCCCATTATAAGTAAGAAGATGAGGTAAATTATGATATGCAGTTCATTATCAAAGAGCAGTTACTTTTCATAGCAAGAAATATAAAGTGACATCACAGGTTTTCTTCTGATAGGTTAGAAGAATGGAGAGTTTTTAATATGGATTATGCATTGTGTGAGTTATGACGAAGGTAAACCTAATAGCGTGTGCAAATGACATGCTGTCTATCACATACTGGGTAAACGTAAAGGCTTTGGTAAGCGGAAAGAAAGATTTGGCTATAAAGATTTAACATTTTGAGCTTTTATGGCTTATGGAGTTTTGCATGATTTTTAAATATGGAATTTCTTTAAGATTTCACCTCATCATTGACAACTGCTTTCTGAGTTTCTTGCCGTTTAATGAACCACAGGTTTTCCTTTTTAGAGCATTGAGTCTCTCCAGGTGGAACGGAGTACGAGAGGTCTGACATTCTCTCTGTTGCACTTTCAGAGAATAGCGGCTATAAAGCAGGCCTTGAACGCACACAACATCAGCTTCTTTCTGAGGGGAGGATACTGGGTCTTAGTGACTTTAGCTGACTCCGATTCAGGTAAATCTATAAACAGAGCTCCCAGAGACCAACCTCTCGATTCACTATGTACCTGGAAACTCTCTGAAGAGAGTATGTGTGCATACATGTGTGTGTATTTTGAGCAGAGATATGTTAAAATGATGTTTTAAACAGAAAGTTCAGCTTTGGCATGAACCTTGTATTAGAATGTCCTTAGATTTTTGTTTGCGTATCATATTTCGATATATCCTTCTTTCTTGTTCCAGTGTGTTGTGGGAGAACAGCTTAGCTGACCCCAATCAATTTATGTAAATACTGGTGCGATATTTTATCTGTCAGTTCTCTGTAGGAGAGAAAGCTCTTTTATCTAGTCTCTAATGTAGAATCGTGCTACAGTTTTGCTGTGGTACCTTGTCTGGTTTAAAGGGCTAACATTTGTTAGCCAGCACGAAAGGCTGGGATTGAAAGAAGCCCATGTTCATTCCAGCCTTTACCAGCGTACAACCTTGATGAGTTTGTTTTTTGTTCAGAGCCTTAGTTTCTCCATCTGTGAAATTAATACAGCCCTGCTTTTGCCATGCATGTGCTTAGGGCATTTGATCATTTCCTATGATAACTTTAGGTTCCCAGAAAAAAATCCCAGTGAGTATGCAAATTATTAAATCTTCAGAGTTTTGTTTTGTTGTTTTTTTCTTTTTTTTTTAATTGGTCCTTTGTCCTTCAGTCGCAAGTCACAAATTAATTTCATATTATTGCCTTATTGAAGAAGCTACAGATGGAGTGAAAAGAAGAGGTTACAGAAGTAACAAAAAATGGTTTTGGCCTGACAATTAGATAGAAAACAAAGCCCAAGAATGTGACTGATCTTAAAGAGGGTGTGCTAAGCTGTTGTTTTATTCTGTATTTCAGACTCTCAGAGGATTGGAGGAAGCAGTGGTTACTGGGCTATTGTGGTTCTCTTTGTTATCTGTCTAGTCGCAGTTGGGGCTTTCATCCTCTACAAGTTCAAAAGGCAAGTAAAGCTTAATCAACAACATATATGTTTAAAGAATTAGATTTGTCCACCAATCAGCAAAACAGAGTTTGTTATTTGAAAAGATTTCTTGAAGAATTGCAAAAAGTTCACCGCTTTGAAAATTGTGTTTTTCTGAACTTTTCAGACATCAAGATACTGCACTGATGCTTGTTTTCACTTGCTGTTTTCCAAGATAAATAGCAGCAATATGTGAAGTATGGAGAGTTCGTTCAGCTTGTCTAAATAATATCATCAAGAAAGAGAGCTGAGCTAAAATATTATTCCTGATTAATTCCTACCTCATTGCTCCTAGCAGTTATTCATAAACTAAAGCTATCGGGACAATGAGCGCATCTGCAATGCTGATTTGCTTAAAAAAGTAGTTTTAGCAAAACCTGTAGCACTCTGGAGTTTCTCTTTGCACACATTACATTTTATTTGCTGGGGCAATGCCACACAGACTGAGTGTTGGAAATAGATTAGTGTTAATTTGATACTAGATTGTGTTGAAGGGAGAAATAATTCTGAAAGTGGCCTTTATGAGAGACATGGTCTCAAAATTGACAGGGGATGCCATGCCAGCTTTTGATGGTCTGAAGAGTTTTCAGTCTACAATTTATTTTAATCGTAGCTACTAGGGGGCCATGCAATTTAACAAATTTTGATCTTGCTGATATGTTTGTGTTGATGACATTGGCTATGCTCTTGTTATTTTTCTCTCTCTGAGGCATTTAGAAGCTATTAGATTTGTGCATACTGGAAACAAGCCTTCATCATCATCAAATCCTGATGTCTTTACTCAGTGGGGATTCCTATTGATTTGTCTCAGTCTTTAAAGATTGATTTTTATTTGAAATAAACATAAGTTTATAGAAATAGGTGCGATGCTGAGTTCGTGATAGCAATAGCGTAGATAACATTTAAGTAATAGTTTGTTTAGAAAAGATGTTTTAAATCAATAAAGAAAAACTCTTTTTTCCAAGAATCTCTTCATTTTCTCACCACTGCACCTAGGTTTCTTAGAGCTTGTAGTGGCTGATTGCTCTAAAGGACAAAGCACAGAGTGCTGTATCAGACCGTCTACAACTGAATAAAAATCCATGTCGTTATTTTAGGTGCCTGAAGCAAGGGAAAGCATAAAAATGGTTGATGTGATGTAATTATATTATTTCAGTAGCAATACATGGAGGATTTGCTGTTTGTAGTGTGGGATCATAAAACTTGCTTGCGACATCTTTCGAAAGCTGTATGATTTATATCTTTTATTAGCTCTTAAATGAGAACAATTAAATAACAGACACAATTACTGCATGGCAAAAGAAGTATAAAATATTAAAGAAAGGAAGAAAAAAATTATTTTCCTTGAGTTCTTTCTAAAATGCCCAATGAAGCATCACTTTATGAATAGAGCTTTTATAAAGGAGGAAACTACAGTACAATTTGCAAATTTCGAACTGTAATGTCTCTCATACTTCTGTATAGAATTCATGAAAATCATTTGCATTTAAATTTTCTGAGGATTTAATTTAGGTGCGAGTGAGAATTGTGAGATATATTCAAATGTTTCTCAGTAGCTCGAAAACTGCTGTTGGCATTGATGAATGACCATGCAGTAGGATTCAATTTTAGTCCGCATGATATCTGTTTCTGAGATATTTGACAGAATTATTTTTAAATATTCCTGCTAAGCTTTTCCAAGATAACTATTTTTTTTGGTTGCATCCTTCATCTGCAATTTGATCTTCAGAGAACATTGAGTGCACCTAATCGGTGCTATATTGAAAAAAAACACTTTTTCCTTATGTGTTCTCTATGAGCTCATCTCCCACCCAAATCTTTAATCCCTTTAAAATGAGAAAAAAAAAAACCAACACTTTTCTGTATTTATAAAGATGGATGGTGAGTTGCTGGATCCCCATGGAGTACTTACTTGTAAGTATAGTCCCTTTAAAGTCAGTACAGTGAGTATGTAAGTTTACAAACTGGTCCATAGGGACTGAGACTATGAAACTGAGTGTCCTTTATAGATATAAAGGTTACAGGTTGTAATGCACAACGGCAGCTTGTCAATATTTCATGCCTCTATATTAAAAATTAATTTGCTGAAAGAATTACATAGGCAACAAAAATTGTTCAATATTAGGAGATAATTTCAGCAGAACAACACTTTCTGTGCTTTATGGTAACTCAGACAACACATGCAAATATAAATATGAATTATTTCCACATAGAAATTACAGACATGTATAAAGTGTTGAAATACTGATACTGTCCATAATTTTTACATATAATTCACAAAATTAAGGAGGAGATAGAAGACATTTGGTGGTGCTTTCCTTTCATTTATGTAAGTTGATAGTCAGATGTTCCCACTGGAAAAGCATTAAAACTCCTTTTTGCCTCCCAAGTCAGACAAAGGTTTATTAATCTTGGTTTTATCACTACACTGATTGAGTCTATAAGACTTCCAGTTGGCATCAGGGCACAAACAAAGCAGGCGGCCTGCAAAACATGACATGGACATGCCTTGGACTATTCTCTCTCTCTTTCTCTTCCTTTGCTGACCCAAAGGACAGTTCATAGATTCATAGATTCACAGATTTCTAGGTTGGAAAAGACCTTAGAGATCATTGAGTCCAACCATCCCTAATCCCCATTAAACCATATTGCTAGGTAGATCATCCACCCTATTCTTAAACACATCCAGGGATGGGGACTCACCCCCCCCCCTGGCCAGCCTATTCCAGTGGCTGACAACCCTTTCAGAGAAGAAATACTTCCTAACATCCAACCTGAATCTCCCCTGAGAAAGCTTATACCCATTTCCTCTTGTTCTATC